TATATATAGGAAGACTTTATAACAGAAATGAAGAAGAAAATAATAAAATAAAAAGCAGAAAATAAAAAAAATAAATAAACAAAAGCAGATAAAACAAAAAATAAATATAAAAACAAGATAATATAAATAATAAATAAATAAAAACAAAGAAAGACATTGATAGATATAGAGATAGAGATAAAGAGAGATAGAGAGATAGAGATAGATAAAGAGACAGATAGATATATAAAGAGACAAAGAGAGAGATAAAGAGACAAAGAAAGATAAAGAGACAGAGAGAGACAGAGAGAGAGAGAGAGACAGTTAAAGAGATAAAGAGATAAAGAGATAAAGAGATGAAGAGATAAAGAGATGAAGAGAGATAAAGAGATGAAGAGATAAAGAGATAAAGAGAGATAAAGAGAGACAAAGAGAGACAGATAGATATATAAGGAGACAAACAGAGAGATAAAGGGACAAACAGAGAGATAAAGAGATAAAGAAAGATAAATAGACAAAGAGAGAGATAAATAAACAAAGAAAGATAAAGAGACAGAGAGACAAAGAGAGAAACAGAGACAGAGAGAGACAAAGAAAGAGATAAAGAGATAAAGAGAGAGATAAAGAGATAAAGAGATAGACAAAAAGACAGAGAGAGATAAAGAGATAAGTAAGGAGACAAAGAAAGATAGATAAAGAGACAAAGAAAGAGATAAAGAGACAGAGAAAGAGATACAGAGACAAAGAAAGAGATAAACAGATAAACAGATAAAGAGATAAAGAGATAAAGAGATAAAGAGATAAAGAGATAAAGAGGCAAAGAAAGAGATAAAGAGATAAAGAAAGATATAAAGATATAAAGATATAAAGAGATAGATAAAGAGACAAAGAAAGAGATAAAGAGATAAAGAGAGAGATAAAGAGATAAAGATATAAAGAAAGAGATAAAGATATAAAGATATAAAGAGATAGATAAAGAGACAAAGAAAGAGATAAAGAGATAAAGATATAAAGAGATAGATAAAGAGACAAAGAAAGAGATAAAGAGATAAAGAGAGAGATAAAGAGATAAAGATATAAAGAAAGAGACAAAGATATAAAGAGATAAAGAGAGAGACATCTCACCAGACTTTGTCTGTCTTTGTCTCGAGCATCAGCGAACTGTCTCCTGTCTCTTTTTGTTGTTTTGCTGCTTTTTTCTCTTCATCTTTTTTTCTTTTTAACTTTCTAATGTGTTTATCAGACAGAGGTATTTGAGGCAGGTCTTCATCAGCTAACTCTTTTATCTCTTCTTCTTCTTCCTGCTGCTGCTGCTGCTGATGCTGCTGCTGCTGCTGCTGCTGCAGCACAGGATCAAAGCTCTCAGCTAAGAGATTATCAGCAATGTCGTCTGCTGCTGTAGAAGAAAAGAGAGATTGATTAAACCACCGAGCAGCAACTACTGCAGCACGACTCTCACTTGCTGCTGCTGCTTTTCCTCCTCCTGCTGCTGCTGCTGCTGCTGAGCTGCTTGATTTTGATGCTGCAGCTTTTGCTGCTACAAGAGCACTCGGCAGCTCCTCATCTGCACGCAACATATAAACACTCCTGCTGATGCTGATGCTGATGCTGATGCTGATGCTGCTGCTGCTGCTGCTGCTGGTGCTGCTGCTGCTGTTGCTGCTGCTGGTGATGCTGCTGCTGATGCAGTTGTTATTGCTGCTGCTGCTGTTGCTTTAAACCGCTTGACGCCTAACTCTACATTGCCCCTTCTTTTTCTCCTAATAAACCCTAAACCCTAAACCCTAAACCCTAAACTGTCGAGTTTGTATATGTCTTCGAGTTTAGGGTTTAGGGTTTAGGGTTTAGGGTTTACTGATTCTTACCTAGATATTCATGTTTATGCGTTTGTTGATATTTGTTTGTTTTGTCTTCATCAGACAAACCGCTGTCTCCTTCTTCTTCTTGTTCTTCTTGTTTATTTAGCAAGTACTGCTGCTGCAGAGATGCTTGCTGCGCTGCAGCAGCAGCAGCAAGCATCTCTCCTTGTCTCTCTTGTAAAACCTTTTGTCTTCGTCTTTGTTTTTTTTCTTTTCGTTTGTCTGCTGCTGCTGCTACACTTGCTGCTCTCGCTTTCATCGACAACTCCAGGGCCGCCTCCAACCTAAATAAATAAATAAATAAATAAATAAATAAATAAATAAATTAATTAATTAATTAATTAATACAGATTAATTAAAATATGCGAAAAGAGCAGTGAAAGATTCGCTATAAAGCAATACACCCTAAACCCTAAACCCTAAACCCTAAACCCTAAACCCTAGCAAACCCTAGCAAACCCTAACAAACCCTAACAAACCCTAACAAACCCTAACAAACCCTAAACCCTAAACCGTAACAAACCCTAACAAACCCTAACAAACCCTAAACCCTAAACCGTAACAAACCCTAACAAACCCCAGCAAACCCTAAACCCTAAACCCTAAACCCTAAACCCTAATTATTGTCTGACCTGTCTACATGGCTTTGATATTCGTTTTGCAGTAATGTTTCAAAATGTTCGTTAGAATGTTCATCTGTAAGAGATTTATTTTTAAGTATATTTTTATTAATATCTTTATCATCGTCTTCTTCATATAATGCTGTAGAGGGTAAATACTTGTTCTCTTGCTCAAGTGCAGCAACTGTCTCCTTTGAGAGACAAAACAAATCTTCTTCTGTCTCTTCAGCTGTATATACACCCCGTGACAGCTGCTGCTTCTGCTGCAGCAACTTTAACTTCTTTGCTGCTTCTCTCTCCTGCCTCTGCTTTCGTCTGTGCAGCTCAGACTGAAGCAAACCCAACTCCTGTACACCCAACAAACCCTAAACCCTAAACCCTAAACCCTAAACCCTAAACCCTAAACCCTAATTAACCCTTATAAACCCTTATAAACCCTTATAAACCCTTTCAAACCTTTATAAACCCTTATAAACCCTTATAAACCCTTATAAACCCTTATAAACCCTTATAAACCCTTATAAACCCTAAACCCTAACAAACCCTAAACCCTAAACCCTAACAAGCCGCAAAAGAAAGAAAGTCAAAGAAGAAGAGAGAGAAAGAGAAGCAAAGAGAGACAAAAAAAGACGAACCCTAAACCCTAAACAAATTATTATCTTTAACAGACCTTATCAGGCTCATCATCTTCTTCCGTTTCTTCTCCTTGCTGCTTCTGCTGCACTTGCTGCTGCTGCACTTGCTGCTGCTGCTGCTGCTGCTGCTGCTGCTGCAATTGCTGCTGTTTCTCTTCTAAGGCGAGGGCTCTTCTGACTTTAAACCTCCAGCGAAGCAACGATTGATATTCTCTTTTACCTAACAGCTTCAAATCGTTACAATATTCTTTAACGTCTTCTGTTGTGCAGGGATGTTTTAATATTTTGTCAGTTATTATCTCTTCAATGTGTCTCTCTTCATCTCCTTCTTCTTTGCTTTCATCACACTTCATATTACTGCTGCTGCTGCCTTTGCTGCTGTTGCTGCTGCTGCTGCTGCTGCTGCTGTTGGGGTGTATAGGGTATGGTTGCAATGCTGAAGCAGAGAGCAGCAATTCGACAGGGTTATTAGAGAAGAAGAATTGATAAAAAGATACGACTTTCTTCTTTATAGGATCTACAGTATATCCTGTTTTATTTTTCTTTTTAGCGTTATTAATAGCTTGTGCTAATGACACTTTATTTGTTTTATCTTCATCATTATTAAAAATAGATATAAGTTTATTTTGATTTTGTTTTTTCGTCGTTTGTTTGCTCTCTTCTTCTTCTTCTTCTTCTTCTTCATCTTCTTCTTCTCTTTCTTTTGCTGTCTTTACCCCTTTATCTTTATCTTCATTAATAATATTATTAATATTATTATCCTCATCATCAACAGACGAAAATACATACTTAGGATCTAATAAACGTTTATCAATATGTTGAGGCTTTAAATAAGAAAGACAAACAACAAACAGTTCAGCAGATACACTTCGTGAAGCACTAGGTTTAGTAATATAAACGTTAGAGAAGAATTGTTTAAAGACATAAATAATAGACGAATAGTCTGAAGATCTAAATACCTTTGATATAAACACACCCCCTCTCTTTAAACAACCTATTGCTATATTCAATGCAGATAAAACTAAATTTAATTGATTAAAAGCATCTACCCTCCAGTCACAACCTATATTAGGCGAACCGTCGTGCAATACTAAGTCTGCTTCTTCTCCCTGTACAAACAAAACATATATATAAATATTATATATATATATTTATTTATTTATTTATATTATACATATTTATTTATGTATTATATATTATTTATTTATTTATTTATTTATTTATTTATTTATTTGTGGATTTAATTTACTTGTTTGTTTGTTTTTTAGTTTT